AGAGAAGAGAGAAAGAGAGGAATAGATAAAGAGGGAGAGTGTGTACCTGTCAGCTTTCCCTAGTCGACCAAAAGCTTCTCTGCCGTCTGCTGTCCCTTTGTGTTATGTATACACACATGTATGCCATTCAGGCGCTACAGTCCCACATAAAGGATATTACGTAGAAATGTCGAGTAATGGAGCTGACTTAGTGAGCCGTGAGGCTGGATGCAATGGGATAGGCGATGAAGTGTAGTCAGGTAGGAGGAGTATGTGGATTCCAGATGTCGGTAAATGGCCGACCGGCTTTAGCGGAATGCGCTTATTTACTCAATTGTGCGGAGTTGAAACGCTATTATACTATCCCATTCATATTCTTCCCCAAACGAGGAAACGCTTGCCCATATGCTATTATCAAGCAGTGCTTCCGTTACTCGTGTTGAAATCCCTTATTTATGCATTCCTCCTTCCATGGCGTGGTGAGGACAATTATCTTGTGGGCAAAACGGATGCGATCATTAGGAGAAAGGGGCAGACAGTCCAAAAGTGCCCTCATGAGGGCCAACTCCGAGCGGTTGGAGGCAGTTCTGCAGGCGGCACGAGACGAAAACTCGCCGGGCAGAAGAGCCGTCTCTGCGAGAAGCATGCATCCTCCTGTCCGACAGCATCGTCTTGTCAAGCTGTCGCATCACCTATGCTCGTCCAAATCGTGGTGTCTTGCCATTTTTCACACATGTCCCGAACTGAAAGAGTGACCCCGTATGAAATGATCGTTATCAAGGCACAGATTGTCAAGCCACTTTAAAGCCTGTAAATATAAAAAAATGTGACAATTGTTAACTTATTTTCGTATTAGAGTAGAGTTTCGAGACTAACAGTAAATCAGTAATATGAGTTCTATTCAACATATTTCGTCTAAGGTGATGAAGGACTGATAGTAGAATTTTCCCACAATCATATGATAGTTGAGCTGACGTTTCCATTGAATTTCACATAGCCTTGCTTTCCCAAAAGTTGTTCTCATA